TGTATGGATATTTATGTTTGTTCATTCTCATCTCTGCAGCTTGGGGTGCTGCTGACAGCCTTGGACACGTCACTTACCACGAAGCGTCATCGGCAACAGGCAATTCGGCACGGTGCCAACAGGTATGTGAAGCTTGCTCGACTTGCAGTCGCGTCTTGCTCTGGTGAGGCTCGTGCTTCAGCGGTCACGCATCTTCGTCGAAGCCAGCGCGACGCCAAGCTCGCCAAGAATGAACTACGACTGGGATCGGTGCGGGCTGATCGACCACAACACCCCTTCCCATGTCTTATCGCGTGAGAGGCGAATTGTCAAGTGATCGCAGCGCGTGGCTTCGTGGAGCGCAACGCTTCGAATCACCTGGAGGTTCAGGCGGCTCGGCTGGAGATGCTGCAGGCCATTGCAAATTGCGAGCGCCTTGATGGCCGACAAATGCCGCGACTCTATGTATTGCATGTGCTTTCGGGGAGATCCAATTTCAAGCTTGGCACTTCTGCTGGCGCTGATGGCTGCCCACCTGAAGAATACCTGGCGCTACAATTTTGCCTCGTTGTCAACATATGGGAGCTCTTCCAATAACGACTCACAAACCTGTCGTCAGAGGAGGCCCCGCTGTGTAAGTTCATCGACTGCACCGGGTTGCCTAAAGATATAAGTTCCGAATATTTTGATACATTACGATGGCTGTCTAAAGCTGATAGCGTGCAGAAGCGGTCCATAAGAAGTGTTCTGCAAGTGGTCCGGTCCTATTTGCAAACTTCCACTGTCTACAGCATTGGTTTCACGCCTGGTTTTTGCTGCGATGATTTGGACATGATGGTCAGAGCATGTTTGAATGCTGCACGTAGATGGGCTCGACCATCTCTTTAGGGCGCTTCTGACGTAGCCATTGCGTTCGACACCATGGATCATGACATTTTCATGCGTGCACTCCTCAAGCGAAAAATCCATCCCATGCTAATCGGGTGCCTGATCGGGGAGCTGTCCGGCTTCCGCGCTAAAGCTGAACCTGCCGGGAGCTGGCGCCACTGAGAGGTTCGATTTTTAACGCCGGGGGGGGCGAGGAGCTGTCGAGACGCCTGACGAGTTCAACATCCTTGTGGAAGTGATAGTGGGGCCACTGGCAGACGACTGGCTGCGCACAGGATACGGCTTCTCGATGGGGTACCTTCCTTAACGCATTTGGCGTGGGCAGACAATATCTTCATATTCGCCGCAACGCCTTGTCAGTTTACGGATATGGCGACGGAGCTTGCCATCGCCCTCAATACGCACATGTTGGCATCGAAGCACTCGTCTTTGGAATTCCTCTGTGTTGGCAGTCCATTCGAGGAGCTCGGCGAGTCCATGGAACTTGACGTAAGAGGCCTCGACGACGTGCCGGTCGTATTTCGGCGTGCCCACGAGGTGGAGATATTGGGCAACATGATGAACGCAAGGGGCTCGACGACATGCAGTCTGGACCTCAGGAAGCACAGAGCTGAAAGATGCGACTGGGCGTATGCGAGCTCTTTCAAGGGTCGCGGGGCGGTCGCGTGCAAGCTCCGCTCGTGGCAGGCTGGCCCTTCTGCTTCATGTTTGCTCGGTGTTGGCACTTGGAACGTTTGCGAAAAGACGCTGTCTGAGACCAAGCGTTGGGAATTCCATTTGTCCAAGAAAATCTTCCAGATGAGACGCACACCAGGAGAATGCCACATGGAGTACAACCAGCGAGCTGCACTTGTGATATGAACCTGGTCGCAGAAGCATGGCATTCCATTACTTCGTCACTGGGTCTTGAGGGCCGCGTTCATGCAGGGATGGCGCGAGAACCATCTGCCAGACCAGGGTTTCCAGGACCACTTGCGCAAACTTCTCGGGTACCGTTCGCGAGCCTGGTGGGACGGTGTACGACAGATACCGCGGAAGGATCGGCGAAAGGCCGCCATGGTACAGGGCACCAGTGGACATCCAGCCGAATGGGAGCATGCGTTGTGCGAGGTCTACCGCACGCAATGGCGCAAATCGGTCCAGAAACACATTCAAGACTGCGGCAGATTGAAAATCTAATCTTAACCACTTTACCAATTCAATTTGTGTGAAGTGGCGTTTGCCGACCTTACCAGGAGAGGTTATGGCTCATTTCGCTGATGAGTGTCCACGCGCCGCTGCGCCCGAACCTTCGGCGAAACGGCGCAAGGTAAATAACCTGTCCATGATGCCAGAGACGCGCGCGGGCTTCGGCAACGCGCCAATTGATTGGGAATGCTCGAGACGTAGGTGTTTGTTCGTGGTGGGCCGTCACTCTGTCCAGCGCGTCTGCGCAGGCATTGCTCCGCTGCGTGATGTTGCCGCCCAGCCGGTCTTCGAAGAAGTCTGCACCAATGTCGGGTCGATCTTTGGAGCAGGTTGGGCTCCACCGAAGGCGTGGGATGACCCAGTAATCTGGCGCCGACGCGAGGAGAATCTAGTGGCAGACTTCCTCGTCGACAAGACGATGGATACCATATCAACTTGGTCAAAACACTTCGACCTCCCAGCTTCGATACGCAGTACCAGCGATTGAAATTTGGTGGTGCGTTCAGATGGCGGTACGCGTGCAGGTTCGTGCTCGGCCACCGGCTGGGTCGTAGAAGTTGGCAGTCCGATCGATGGCATGTGGCAGCACAGCGTGCTGGCAATATCTGGGACGTTCATCTCCACGCCAATCTCTTCGTTTCTCGCTGGGGCCCTGGCGCTGGAGGAGGATGCCACCCTCTTCGTGAAGAAGCTGGTGGCGGGCTGAGCACACACCAAACATGAACACAGTCGGCTGGCCCCAAAGAGGCTTCGAGCCTAGTAGACCACTGGACCACCACAAGGAGGAGGAGGAGGAGGAGGAGAAGGAGGAGAAGGAGGTGGGGGAGGAGGAGGAGGAGGAGGATGAGGAGGAGGAGGATGAGGAGGAGGAGGAGGAGGAGGAGCAGGAGGAGGGGGATGAGGAAGGAGGAGGAGGAGGGAGGAGGAGGAGGAGGAGGAGGGGGAGTGAAGGGAGGAGGTGGAGGTTGAGCAGGAGGTGGGGAGGAGGAGGAGGAGGAGGAGGAGGAGGAGGAGGAGGAGGAGGAGGAGGAGGAGAAAGTGGAGGAGGAGGAGGAGGAGGAAGAGGAGGAGGAGGAGGAGGAAGAGGAGGAGGAGGGGGAGTCCTCCAGCTCCTGCTACTTTCAGCCCCAGGACCGGCGCTGGCGTGCCCCCCCCCGCCGAGAGCTCTCGACCTCGCAGTGTCGTCGCTTTTTCGGTCCGTCGACCCGGCTCGGTGTCAACTTCGGCTCGGTTCCGATCTTCGAACGATCCTGTGCTCGAATAAAAAAAGCCGCGTAAACATAAACTTGGCGCTCCGCGCGGATTTCTCGGATCCGCGCCTGGGCCCCTCGGCGGCGCCTCCGGCGCCGCCCCTGGCGCGCTCCGCGCGCCAGGGAGGGGGGTCCAGCGCGAATCCAACAAATCCGCGCGGAGCGCCACAAGTTTATGTTAATTTGCTTTTGTTCTTCTTCTATGTGCGGCCTTCGGCTTGCACCGCGCTCGCAGCTGTACATCGTGGCGCAGCCGAACCGATGTGACCCCGACGCCGATGCTGGGACGTGCAGGCGATCTTCTATGATGGAATTCCAGTAGCTCTCGCGCGGAACGCAATAGTTGTATAACTTGGGACCTCGGCAGGCAGCGTCTGTGGACGCATTTGGGCCCTGGGGGAGGGGCAACTCATATCGATATCCACCGCCTGCCGATGTCCCCCCGAAAATCGATCCAGTAGGCGGTGGCTATGGACCCAGACATGCCATGCCCTCATTCCTCTTGAGGGGCCCCTGGAAGTCCCGACCCTTTCCCCGGGACCAGTTGTTCCTCCCGAGTCGTTTGCGGACGGCCCCAAACGGCCAGACATTTTCATACATTTTCTGCCATGTTTTTTTCAGGACGCGTGCATGTCTGAGGATAATCCTCGTCGCACCGACTCCGTGTCGGCGCGGCCGGATCCGACCCGCCCGGCATGTCTGTTCACTGCGCGAGGTCGTCTGGGCGAGGCCGGGGAGCGCGAGGCCTCGCTGTCGAGGGCCTGGCGCCGAGCTAACGGCGAGGCATCGCCGACTCGAGTCCATTCCCCCCTCCCCCTGACCCACATCCGATGTCTTTGAGTCCTTCCATGCGTTCGGTAGCAAATCATGGGAGCCTCGTATACCATCTTGATTCCGATTTCGGCGTTGCTCAGCGTCGATGAGTGTATGGGAGTCGAGGAGATAGCGCCGACTTATCATCGATTCGCGTCGATGTAGCGTCGGTTAGCGTCGATCAGCGTCGATTCGCAAGAGCTGGCAAGATGGTACTGGAGGCTCCCATGAGCTGCCACCGAACATGCGCGGTCCCCGGCCGCTGCTTCATCCCGAGCCGCTCTTCTTCTTTGACGGCGCCCTCGGCCCGGCGAGGGCCCCCAGAGGCCAATCGGCATTTTTGTTTGGTGCACCGTGTGCCCCGCCCTCCACGGCGGGCAGTGGCTGCATCGAGCCCCGTCCGGAGAGAACTGTCGTCGGGAAGCAGAGGCCCGGCCAAGCTCTGCCGACGGCACCGTCCGGCCAAGCAGGCGCCAGAGCACCCCTCGGCGCGCACGGGCCCGCAGCAAGGCTGAGGACGACAAGCTGCGCACGCCGAGCGTGATGGCGAGGGCAAGTGAGACGGAACCGCTGCAAGACAACGTTGCCAAGTGGACGACTACGCATCCGGTCTGTATCTCAAGCTTGCGCATCCCCCCTCTCCGGACACCAAGATCGGCAACACCCCAACATACTTATACTATATGTGCGTCGCCCCCCCAGGGGCGACGCGTCGTGGCGGGCGCTTTCTGGCCACACAGCTCGGGAAACGATATACTACAAGATGGGTATACTATATGTTCGGGTCGGACGCGCGCCTCCGAGGAGGACATATAGTACTAGTATGTCCATGTGCGTCCCACAAGAGCCGGCCCACGCACCCAGGAACGGGCCGCGGATTCTGGCCCAAGCAGCGCCCGCCCCCGCGCGTCCGCCCCCGCGCGTTCCCGCGCCCACGCGCCCCCTCCCCCGCGCGCGCGCGCGGCGGGATTTTCCGGCGCGTCGGGGCACGGGGGCCGCGGCTAGGGCGGCGTTTTTCCTCGGCAGCGGTGTTCGGGCGATCGCAAACATGGATGAAGGGGGCTTTGCAAAAAAACCCTTGAACGAAGGATTGCAAAAAAACCCTTGGTCGAAGGATGGCAAAAAAAACCTCTAACGAAGGATTGCAAATCCTTTTGCAAGGATTGCAACAAAACCTTTAACGAAGGGTTTTTGTTGAAACCCTTTTGCAATCCTTGGTTTTTTTGCAATCCTTCGGATTAGCGACGGGTCTTGTTTCCATTGGAAATCGCGGATGCCTGCCGCCGAGTGAGGCGGCACCGGCCGCATGTCGGGGAGGGCACCTCCCTCGGCCCATGGATTTGGCGACCGCGCGCCTCGTGATCCGTGGATCGCGAATCCGTGTTTGCGCGCCCCCGAGGCGTGCGCTTTCGCGCCATGGCGCGGGCCATGCCGCCCTCCGCCCTGCCGCCGACCCTGCAGGCGGCGCTGGCCGCTGGCGGCGGGCGCGGCGCCTGGAGCGCGCCGGGGGAGGAGCCCAGGCGCGGGAGGGAAGAAACACACAGACACAATGAATCGTCGGTTCCCAGGAAAATATGCAAAAGTATGGGATGTGGGGGGGAAGACAAAAATCCAAGAAGATACTGAAAAATGCAGGGGATCCTGTTATCTGTGTGTATTTGTTTGTGTGTCCCAGGGCCCCTTCACAGGCGCAGCGCCGAGCCCCAAGACCCGGAGGCGCAGCACGGCGTGGCGGTGCGGCCGTCGGCGCAGCCGCGGAGCATCGGGCCGGACGACAGGGGGGGATAGGGAAAGGGGGGGCTACGAGGTCTGCTGCATGCAGCTGGTTGCGGCCCCGCCGCCGGGCCTATTCCTCGGTACACGGGCGCCTCCCGGTGCTGGGAGGCGCCGGGAAAATCAGCTACGTGGGCTGCTTCTCAAGCCCCCCCTTTGCTGTATCCCCCCCTTTCGCCCGGCCCGAGAGCAGCGCCGGGCAGGGCACGGGGGGCTCGCGCCAGAGGGTCATGGTGAAGATCCGCGGCGCACAGATGATCAGGAAGTTCAAGGACTTCCTGAAGGAGCCGGAGGCGGACACGGAGGACGGCCTCTTCGACGGGTTCCAGCCCCCGAGGCAGGCGCTGAGGCCGCAGGAGGCGGGCCTCCGCCAGGTGGCGTGGCAGGATCCCGCGGGCCTGCAGGACAAGGCCAAGGCCCCGCTCTCCAGCGACCCCGGCTCGCAGGGCTTCCACGAGCTCCTGCAGCGCCTCGCGTCGGTGCACGACTCGGAGGTGGAGGAGCTGCGCGCGCTCCGCAGAGACCACGCCACCCTGCGAGCGACGCTCGGGGCGCGGAGCAAGGCCCCGGCCGCAGCGAACCACACGGCGCTCCCTGGCAGCCCTGCGTGCCGCTCCACGGTCGGTGTCAGGGGCTTGGCTGCCTCCAGCAGCAGCCAAGAGGGCACCGGACCCGCGGTGACGGTGGCCATGGTAGAGCCGCACGCGAACCCCACCGCCGGGACCCCGGTGCTGGACATGGTCTCCGAGGACGACGACGAGCGCCGCTACTCCTCGGGCGATGGGCACGAGGAGGGCTCACGGGCGTCGGAGCTCGTGGGTAGCAGGGAGCACCACGCCATGTCCGAGCAGGAGTGCACGCTCCAGGCCCACTGGCTGAAGCCGGCGCACTCGAAGGATCAGTCTACCAGGTCTGTCGCCAATGAGGCGTCGTACATGGGGATGCACTCCATCTGGATCAGGGCGACGGAGGAGCCGGACTCGGAGGACATGGTGTCCCACAAAGGCTCCACGAAGTGGTTCCCGCAGTATCCAAACAGCCAGTCGCGCATCCTCTGGGACTGCGCAGCGGCCATGTTGGTGATCTACGACGTCGTCATGCTGCCGCTGGCGGCCTTCAAGTTCCCGAGGAACGACTTAGTGATGTCGATGGACTGGATCACGCTGATCTTCTGGACGATCAACATGCCAGCCTCCCTGTGCGTTGGCTATGTGGCCCATGGGCAAATGGTGATGGACATGCGGAGGATCCTGCTGCACTATTTGAAGACCTGGTTCATCCTGGATGTCCTCATCCTCGTGCCAGATTGGACGTTCATCATCATCAACGGAGGAGTTCTGTAGCAAATCATGGGAGCCTGGTAGACCCTCCTGGTATACCCTCGCAATTCCGTCTTTAGCGTCAATTAGCGTCTGTGAGTCAATGAGATGGCGCCGATTTAGCGTCGGCTAGCGTCGATTAGCGTCGATTTAGCGTCGACTATGGTCGATGCAAGAGCCAACAAGATAGTATGGGATGCTCCCACGGGTTGCCACAGTAGAGGAGGCCAGGACGAAGACTCGGTCGGCCAGAACCACACTGGGATGGTGCGCGTTCTGCGTCTGAGCCGCATGGCACGGCTGATGCGCCTGATGAAGTTGAAGAGGTTCCTCCAGAACTTATACTACGCAATCGAGAGCGAATACGTCAGCATTCTGATTCACATCGTGCAAATGATAGCGGTCGTGCTGGCATTTTGCCACATGATCGGGTGCATGTGGTTTCTCGTCAGCGACACGCAGGACGGGAAGCCAACCTGGGTGAACGTGCACGGCTACGACGAGGAGCACTGGTCTTACCAGTATGCGCTCGCGTTTCACTGGTCCATCACGCAGTTCACCCCATCGACGAACGACATCGCCCCGAAGAACATGGCTGAGCGGGTCACGGCCATCTGTGTGGTGGTCTTCGCGCTGGTGGGCTTCGCCTACATCGTCGGCAGCATCACTGGGTCGCTGACGCAGCTCCGCAGCCTATCGGAGGGGAGTGCGAAGATGTTTTGGGACCTGCGCCGTTACCTGACCCACTTCCGCGTGCAGCCCACGCTGGCGCTCCGGATCGAAAAGTACTTGGAGCACGCGTGGGCTCGGCAGCAGAAGGGTATCCACTCGAACAGGGTGCGGTTGCTGGCAATGCTCTCGGAGCCACTCAGCCGGGAGCTTAACCTGGAGATCTACATGCCCAGCCTGAAGGTGCACCCGCTCCTCCTGAACCTCAGCGAGGCCAGCCCGCTCACCATGCAGCGCATCGCGCACTCGGCCATCCAGGAGAACAAGGCGGCGCGCCACGACTTGCTCTTCGTGCCCAGCGAGCCCGCCGTGAACATGATCTTCCGAGTGTCCGGCAAGCTCTGGTACCAGCCCAACGGGGATCAGCAGGGCACGATGGTGAGCCAGGCTTCAGAGGAGCAAAAGGTACCCATACCCCTATCCTTCACCCGTTTTTCCCTTTTTTGACCTCCTCGGGAGGCCCACGTCGCCACCGCTGGATTCGCCTCGGAATCCTGGTCAGACTGCACCCCGGCAGAGGTCCGGGGAGTATCGGTATCAGCACCTTTGGTTTCCCAAAGGCTGAGGAAGGCTGGGTGGCCGAGCCGGTGCTGTGGGTGAACGCCTGGGAGCACAAGGGCGCGCTGACGGCCGCCACCGACTCCGACCTGCTGATGGTCGACCCGGTCCAGTTCAGCCTCGTGGTGACCCGCAGCCCGTGCTCCTATGATATGGGCGTGCAGTACGCGAGGGCGTTCGTGCAGTGGCTGAAGCTGCACGCGCAGGGCGAGGCAAGGACCTCCACGGGCGAGGTGCTCAGGCGGGCGGACCTCGCGTCGAAAGGTTTCGAGCAGATCTGGATGCAGTCGGCCAAGCTCAACTGGTCGAACAACTTGCACCTTGGTCGAACAAAGTCAAGGCTAGGTTTACGCGGCTTCTAGCATTTAGCAAAGCTTGGTAAATAGAGCCGAGGTCTTGCGCACCGTGGTAGTAACTTCTAGCTTGGAGCTTCGGACTGAAGAGGCCGAACAAAAATCGGAGGACACCGCCGCCGGGGTTGTTCTCAACACGCTGGAGACCTGCAGTGCTATGCTTGCTGCTGGATGCTCGATGCTCGATGCCCGATGCTCGATGCTTGATGCTGGATGCGTTACCGTCTGCGTTGCTCGACTGATGCTATTTTACAATGCCCTGTGCCGTTGGTGATCTATTCTTCCCCTTAGAGGAGGAATAGCCGCTGCTCATCCTGGAAAGACCTCACCGCCACCGCTGGATTCTCCTCGAGGCTCTGGTCAGAACGCACCCCAGGAGAGGTCAGTGGAGTAGCGTTAAGTTGGGCATGTCCTTATACAGGGGGATTTCGGACGAAAAATCAGACATAGTCAAGCCAATACGCCAAACATCCAAAAAAACATCGCTCCTAGACTATGTTTTGACTATTTTTGAGTTTTCCTCATATAGAGGGACAGGCCCGACCTAAGAGTAGCGGTATCGCTACCGTTTGCCCCCCCCCCTCCCCGCTCCGCGCCCGAGCCGAAGCCCGAGCCCGCGGCCCGAGCCCGGGCCCCGAAGCCCAAGCCCGAGCCCGAACGAGGCCGAGCTCGGGGCGAGGCCGAGAAAGAGAGAGCCCGCGGAGCCTCAGTCTGAGCCCCCCGCTGAGCCCAGACATCTGGCCGCTCCAATTTCCAAGGGCTCCCACGAGGGTGCGAAGTTATTCGCGCTTCGCGCTTCGCGGTCCTCGTTCCTTCTCCTCCTCCTCCTTGTCCTCCTTTTCTCCCTTTGGGGGGGTGGCGCGAGAGCGCGAAGTTATTCGCACTTCGCGCTTCGCGCAGCGCGAAGCGCGAAGTTGGGAGCCCTTGAATTTCCTGGATGCGTGGGCCCTGGAGGTCTGGGCCACTTCTCAGGGGAGGAGGCGGCACCCCCACCTTTGCCTTGTCCCTCGTTTTACCCCCTCCCTGGGCCTCCTCGGAAGCCCTCGTCGCCACCGCTGGATTCGCCTCGAAACTCTGGTCAGAACGCACCCCTGGAGAGGTCCGGGGAGTAGCGGTATCGGTACCTTTTGGTTTCCCCAACTTCCCTATAGTTGTGGAGGACGATCAATGGAGAGGAAACAGGTTGCCCAATAATCACCAGATGTCTACAACATGTGTTAAACATGTCTTACACGTGTATAAAACATGTTTAAAACATGCTCGTAATATTTGTCGACATTTTAAGCACATGTTTAATTCGATCATGGGACTGTTAGGGTGTCCATTGTCGTGGCATCCACAACCCTACAGGGCTGATTTTTCGTCCCGAGTCGTCTTTCGGACGGTCCCGAGGCCCAGCGTTGGGGCCCCTGGAGGCCAGAAGCGGCCAACAGCTTGTCGCTCCGATTTTTGTTGGAGCGTCGGTTCCCTGGGAGTCCGAGCCCAGGGCCCGGACTCCCAGTGGCGTCTCGCCGGTCGCTGATGCGGCGCGGCAGCACTGGCTTGCCCGGGTGAGTGGCGCGCCCACGGGCGCCCCTGAAGCCGCGCACGAAAGGTCACTCTAGCAGGGTGTCACTCCTACGTGTGGTATCGGACAGGGCCAGGACGAGGACAGATTCGTTCCAGAGCGGTCTAAAACGCTCTCAGCGAGTTACGGAAACCTCTGAGAAGGCCGCGACGCCCGATACATCCTTCGGAGCCGCCGGATCTCAGAGATTCTGAATTCATCTTCACCCGATTTTCTCCTCGGTCTGGCTTCGCCTCGCACTCCAGCCTAGGGTCACTCTAGGCCTCCTAGATGCGGCTCGATGTGGAGCCCGATGTGCCCCACGCCGACGTCGCGGATGCGTCGCCGACGTCGCCGATGCATGGCCGAGGCGTCGCCGATGCATCGGCGATGCATCGGCGATACGGTGCGGTCCTGCGGCCCCACCTGCTCGGACCCCATGGGAGGCCTCGAGTCGCTCCTCCTGCGTGTAGTCGGGCCCTGGCTCCTCATCACCCGATTCCCTCCTCGCTCTGGCTTCGTCTCACGCTCCGGCCTGGGGTCACTCCTGCGTGTGGTCGGGCCCATACAGGTCGGACCGAGGCACGAGATCGAGGTCGCTCCGGGGAGGCTGCCCTAATGATGTTTTCTGTGCTTGTTGGATGCTCTTGTGCACTCAAGTTTGGGCCAGCGGAGGGCCCCCTCCTCCTCCTCCTCCTCCTCCTCCTCCTCCTCCTCCTCCTCCTCCTCCCTTCGGCGTGTCCACGGCGTGCCCGCGTCGCGCGGAGGAGGCCCCGGCGGGGCGGCCGCCCGCCGCCGCGGCCGCCCGCGCGCGGGGCGACCGTGGCGCCGCGGCGGCCGCGGGGGCCCCGGCCGGGCGGGCGCCCGCCGCGGCCGCTGAGGATCGGCGGAGCACATTCGAAGAAGGGCAGAAACCTATGGCCGATGGCCGCCCCCAGGCCGAGGCCCAGAGGGCATGCCCAGCCCGCCGAGGGTCGGGGCAGGACGCGGAGGAGGAGAGGAGCGAGGCAGAGGGTGAGGAGGAGGAGGAGGAGGAGGAGGAGGTCCGTAGCCATTTTGGCTCAAGGCTAACCGTTGTGAAGGGCTATAGACGCCCGAGCATCAGCGATTAGCTTTGCGGCCTCTCCGTAGGCTTTTCTCGAGTGCAATTCCGATCCTCAGGGGGTCGCCTGTTCTCCCTCCAGCAGGTCTTGTGTGGGCGCCCACTACCAGCGTAGTCGGGCGACGATGGCCCGGCCCGGGGGATCGAGCGCAGAGCACGAAGCACTCTTTCGGGCTCTCGGGGACGCGCCCACCTTCCCGTCGCAGGAAGCCGCTCGCCGACCCATCCATGGAGGTGGACCCGAGGCTCCTGGCGGTTCAGGCACACCAGCACGTCCACGGCGAGGCGTGTCGAGTGCGAATGATGACCGTAGCCACTCCCGTGGTGATGATGCAGATCCTCCTCCTCCCAACGGCGACGCCGACATCGGCAACTAGGTTGACGGCACCAGAGACTATCATGGCATAGATTCGGAAATTGAAACACAAAACAGTGGGAGAGATGGCGACCTCAGTACACTCATCTTGTACCAACCTCAGCAGGCAGATCGAGTCCAAATTGTCAGCCGTGGAAAAGAGGCAGCGATCCGCAGAAGACCACATGAAAGCATTCGGAGAGAAGGTGAAGCGATTGCACGTGTCCTTGGCATTATGCGTAGATCCAAGAAGTCCACGCGGAGCGCCAAACAAATTATGATTATGGTTTTCTTCTTCTGCAGAACACTGTCGGTCGGTACCCTCCTCCCGTTGCAAGGAACCTCCATGTGAGGCGTTCCAGAAATCGCCTTGCCTTCGAGGATCGAAGGAGTTGCCATCTCTTCCTCGGCGGAAGGCGGCGGAAGGACGGCGGAAGGTCGGCGGAAGTAAAACGAGGCCGCCTCCGCCGGCGGAAGCGGGCGGAAGCCGGCGGAAGGTTGGCGGAAGGCGGCGGAGGTAAAAGATGCGCCCCCAAGAGATGAACATGTTTTTGGGTTCAGGGTTTCCGAAATCGCCCATTTGTGACGTCGCATCCTCTTCCTCAACCCCTCCTTCATTGCCCTCATCTTCCGCAACCTTGCCATGTCTCTCTTCTCCTTCCCGGCGCCTGCCTCCTCACCGTGGGTGCGTACTCATGCCGCGATCTGGCTGCGGCCGGTGGAGCGCGCGGAAGTCATTCTCAGCGGTACCGTAACGGGTATTCATTAGCGGGTACGTTGCAAAATTGCCGAATTGCCATTTTACAGTCTCTTTCTGGCATTGCAGCGTTGCCCACACTGGGGAGGACTGGATTCGCCGGGTCACTGGCCAACGTACCCGTTAGTGGAGTCCCCGCTTTAGGGGCGTTGACATTCCGCACTCGTCGCTTCCAGGAGCAGCAGGTGGGCTCCGTGTTCTTTGTGGCTCAAATTGCTCGCAGGTCCACACTACCAGATCCATGTCTCTACTCGACCGTTGAAAGAATGGTCGCGCTCATGCATCCACGGGCTCTTGCGGCCAGCCTCGTGTTCGTCGGTGCCTCGGCGTTGGACATTGCTTCGGACGTGGAGCGGTCGAGCCGAAGTTCTAGGGCGCATGTCGCCGTTCGCCAGACGCCCGAGGAGCTGGGCTTCTCCGACACAGGCGTCGCTGAACACGACGACACCTATGGCCATTCCGAATACAGCGAGGAGTTCTGTTTGGACATTGGCGCAAAGGGCTTCCCGATCCCCACGTTCGAGATGATGAAGGCTGTCGACTGGAGCGCGGAGGCGTATTTCCAGCAGCTGCAGGGGGCAGGGTATGCCGAGGATGCCTTGCAGATGACCGGTCCAGACAGAGCCGTTCTGAAGGCTGACTGCATGAAGGAGAGATTCATAGGCAAAATGAAGCACATCTTTGTGGGCGACTCTCAAATGATGGCCCTCCGTAATGCGTTTCACCGTCTCAACAGGTGCCCTGAGATTTGGTTTGCGAACCATTCCGCGGAGGACCTTGACGCCATGATGCGGACTGTGCAGAGGAATCGGGTGGCGCGCTGAAGGGGGTGGCATGAGAGGGGCGATCTTCCTAAAACGCAGGGGTCTTCTTCCTAAAGTCTTGCTGCTTTCTGAGAATCCGTCCACGAAGGGTTCTGACCATCTACAAGAGGCCACCATGCCTTCTTAGAGGCTCCCCACCTCTTCTCTTCGCCCCGGCCCCACTTGGCGCGCCGCCGAGGAATGGCAAGGCCAAGAATGAGGAGGACCGGCTGAAGGCGAAGAGCAGGGCCAGGTTCCACTCCCGCCCACAGATGGTCCCGTACACGAAGCTTCCCGAAGGCTGCACAGAGGAGGGCATCGCATCATTCGTCCACTGGGACGCGTGGGCCGAACACCAGCTGCCCGTCGAGGCAATCAAGAAGGACCACGACCGACAATGCACGTCCATACCGATGACCTGGCGGTCTCGGTATCTATCCGCGATGCCATGGATTCGGCAGGTTCGTGTCGTGTCGTTGGGGCGGCGAGCTCAACGCGGGCGTTCTAGGTTGAACGCCGCCGGTGGTCCAGAGTCAAGCGGTACCGAACAATACGCGCTACAGGGAAGCCTCGGTCGTTCAAGGTTGTGCGATGCACGTTGTGTCAGAAACCAAGGCCCACACCGTCACGACACGAATGGTGGCACGCCCCGTTTGAGGCATTCGCGTCGAGCAGCGGCGCAGCGTGCACGCATCCACGGGATCGCGGTGGAGGAGTCCAGACCGCGAGGGCATGGATACGGATGTCCGTGTCGCTCGTGAGAGGAGATGGAGCTGAGCGCCGTTGACCCTTCCGACGGGGATACCGTCATCGTCTGGGTTGGCTCGAACTTCATCCCCGCCAGGCACAGGATGGCCTCCCTTCTCGATGCCGTCAATAAGCTTCACCAGCTGAAGGTCAAGATGGTGTGGGATTCGCCGGCCTTCCACGACGAGGTCCTGATGGCCGCCACGACGACCCACAACGCTGGACGCAGCCGTACCACCGAGATCCCCTTGACCTTGAATTCCATCGCTCAGCGGAAGATTCGGAGGGCGATAGGCTCAAACGAATTCGGCACCGAGAGAGAGCTTTTCAATCAGGGCATTGAGATTCCCACCACGAAGCGGTGGCAGATCACAAACCGTTACCGCGGGCTCCAGTGCGACGGCATCCACACTGACATACGGGCGAGGGACCCCCTATTCTACGACATGCCTTGCCCGATGGGCGACCAGAAATACGGCCAGTCCACCTACTGCGCCTGGGTGGAGCCCTTCAAGAAGGAGCTGAATCGCGTCTGTCCGGTGGCCACGGGGCTAGACGACATGGTGCTCCAGAGCGGACTCTATTCGATGTGCGCTGCGCACGAGCAACCATTCTGCTACGCGTACACCGAGAACATCCGCTGAGAGCCAGGGCCTGACACGGCTAGGGTCTGGCGATTCTGTGCGTCTATGCTAAATAGAGGGGTGGAGTGAAAGAGAGAGAGAGAGATAGAGAGAGAGGGAGAGAGAAAGTGCGATAGGGAGAGAGAGAGAGAGAGTACGAGAGAGAGATGTATAGAGAAAGAGCGAGAGAGAGAGAGAGATGGAGATAGAGTGAGTCAGAGAGGTACATATATATAGATGTATAGAGAGAGACAGTGAGAGAGCAGACAGAGAGGGAGAGAAACAGAGAGACAGATACAGAACGAGAGGGACAGAGAGACATACGCATATGGTATATGATCACATGTCTATGTATCGAGTACTAGGTTTGCCATGCAGTGGTGGGAATGATACTGATCATGACGAGTTCGACGAGGCGTTGTTGTGCATGCTGGGGGTGCTGATGATGACGAGCATGACGAGTGACGTAACCGTTGTGATGGTGACGACGAGGGTACTCAGGATGATGATCGTGATGGCGATGTGGATTGTGATGGTGCGGATGGCGACGCGATTCAGTTCTTGTTAACATCCGCCCTGAGCTCCCCGTGGAGGAGGATGACCGCCGAGGGGAGACGTCGGAGGACGTGCAGCAGGATAACGATACTGGCAAGGCCCAGGACGAGTCCCTGGCAGCGGCCGCCGAGGAAGCCACCGAGGAGGCGGCGCGGGGGAGTTGGGTGGGGTGGGGGAGGAGGGAGTAGGACAGGAGAGAAGAGGAGAGGGGGGGAGGAGGAGGTTGAGAAAGAGGAGGGAGAGAAAAAGAAAGGGGAGGATCATCAGGTGAGGAGGGCGATGATGGAGGAAACGGAGGAGGGATAGGCAGAAACATGAGGAAACCAGAATGTGTGGGTGGAATAGCAGGAGGAGCAGGAGGAGACGGACGAGGAACGACGGGGAGGGAGGACGGCGAGGGAGGAGAAGGAGGAGGACCAGTGTAAACCCAAGGCTGACCCAAGATGCGTCAACGATGTTGCAATCAACTCTCTCTCCAAGTTCTCTCTTCATAGCGCCCTGCAGCACTTGTTATCACTGCTGGAAGTGTCCCGTTGGAAGACAACCGTCCTAGAATCCCTTCTCGTGCCAAAGCATCACTCCTTGGATTTCACCGCCTCGAATCAACGTCACTGTCGCCTCCAAGCGATCCTGCATCGTGCCATAACGCCGTTGCTGGACTGCAACACCGCGAATCAAGGTGACTGCGGCGCCCTGGCACCGTTCCTGGGACGTCATCCATAGGAATCCTTGAAATCGTTGTACACGTCGTTGTGATTGCGTGTGGCGCTAAGACGAGGACCACTTTTTGAAACCCGCCCGGCCTCTACCCCTGAAGCTTTAGCAGGCTATCAAGACGAATGTGCACGGGTCTCAGGCGAGACTTACACGATGGAAAGGAAGCGCCCTCAATCTTCAAGCTTTTGCAAGTTTTCAACGCGATTGTGCGCGGCGCAAAGGCGAGCGCCACGTTTTGAAAACGATTCCCCCGTCCATCCGTGAAGCCCCAGCACACTTTTAAGACGGATGTGCGCGGCGCTAATTTGAGACCTACATTTTGAAGACGAGCCGCCCTCCATCCGTGAAGCCTTTGCGAAGTTTTGAAACGAATGTGCGTGGCGTGAAGGCGAGAGCCACACTTTGGAAACGCCACTCCCTCCATCCGTTGGAACCTTGCAAGCTTTTAAGGCCAAACTGCGCGCCAAGGCTGGACCCACACTTTGGAAACATCCCGCCCTCCATCCGTGAAGACGAATGTGCGCGGCGCTGTGGTGAGAGCCACATTTAGAAAATGAGCCGCCCTCAATCCGTTAAGTTCTAGCAAGCGCTTAAGGTGAGTATGCACGGCGCTGAGGCGAGACCCACATCTTGAAAACGACCCGCCCACCATTCGTGAAGTTCCTGCAAGCTTTTAGCACGAATGAGTGCGGTGCCCAGGCGAGCGCCATCTTTGGAAACCGCAATACCCCCCAATCGTGGAACCTTTGCAAACTTTGAAAACCAATGTGCGCGGCGCTGTTGCGAGAGCCACATTTTGAAAACGCCCCGCTCTTCATCTGCGAAGCCCTTGCAAGCTTCGACGGCGAATGTGCGCGGCGCTGAGGTGATAGCCGCATTTAGAAAATAAGCCAGAAGCTCTAGCAAGCGTTTCAGGTGAATAGGCGCAACGCTAGGGCGGAATTTACATTTTGAAACCGACCCACCCACCATCCGTGAGCTGCTCTAAGGCGAGAGCCACATTTTGAACACGACCCCCCTCTCCATCCGTGAAGCCACCGAATTTGTTTTACGGTTTCGGGGTCATTTATTTGAGGAAATGCCGAGCGAAACGACAGGCTCGCCCGGAGGAGTCATCCAGTTTCTTGCAGCACGTCCCGCCACCGTGCCAGCCCAGCATCCTGGGTGGCGATTGTTCCAGGGGGCACGGGAGGCCGTCACGTGTGATACCTCGTTCCCATGCATTGGAACGCCATGTGAGGATGCTGGTGGTTATCAGGTGGACGAGGATGGTGACGATCATGACGCTGATGACGATGGTGATGATGGTTCTGCTGATGAGGATGGCCACGGTGGTGGTGGTGGTGAGGATGCTGGTGGTGATAATAACGGTAGTGGTGGTCATGCTGATGGTGGTGAACTTGTTGTTGGTGTTGAGGTTGGTGATGTTGGGTGATGATGTTGGTGTTGATGGTGGTTGTGGACACGATGATGATGGTGATGGAGATGATGTTGATGTTGTTGATGATGCTGGTGATGATGATGATGATGGTGGTGGTGGTGACGATGGTAATGCTGGTGGCGCTGATGGTGACGATGACGATGGTGATGATGATGGTGGTGGTGATGATGATGGGGAGGGGGAGGGGGAGGGGGAGGAGGATGGAACTGGTTATGATGGCGATGGTGATGATGATGCTGATGATGGTGGTGATGGTGGCGGTGATGATGATGGTAATGGTGATGATCATGATGATGATGCTGCTGCTGATGATGATGTCGGTGCTGGTGGTGATGCTGTTGCTGATATTGATGATGATAATGATGAGGTTGCTGATGATGATGGTGATGTTGCTGATGATGCTGATGATACTGATGATGATGATGATGATGATGATGATGATGATGATGATTGTGCTGATGCGGCTGGCAGTGGCGATGGTGGTGATGATGGTGGTGATGACGATTATGCTGATGATGATGATGACGATGACGATGACGATGATGATGATGATGATGCTGATGATGATGATGATGATGATGATGATGATGATGATGATGATGATGATGATGATGATGATGATGATGCTGACGCTGATGCTGAAAATGATGATGATGCTGCTGATGATGGAACTCGTTTCGGCCGTCTTTTGTCTGCCTCGGCCTGCTGAAATGCAAAATTGGGGGTCCCTTGGGGCCCTCTTGGGCTGTCTTGGCCCTCTTTCGCTGGCTTGAGGCTCTCTTGGGCTGTCTTGGGGCCATCTTGGCAGTATGGTGGGTACCTGGGCGCCGTCGTGGGGCCGTCTTTGCGCCGTCTTGTGCCGTCGACAGACCTTCTAGGGCCGTCTTGGATTCTACGGGCGGCCCTCTCGAGCCGTCGTGGGCCTATCTTGGATGCCTCTTGGGCCATGCGTCCTCTTGGGCCGTCTTGAGCTGACGGCAGCCCGAAACGGCGAGAATGCGAATGTCATTCAAAAGCTATAGTTGGAGGCCCTCTTGCGGCCCTTTCAGGCCCTCTCGTGGCATCTTGGGCCGTCTTGAATGAATATTCGGCCGCCTTGGGGCCATCTTGGACCGTCTCCGAGGCATATTGGGACATCTTGCTGTCCTTGGTTGCCTGCACAGGGCCGTCTTGGAAGCTCGGGACGCAGGCCCATCGTTTTTTACAAGAGATCGTGGCTCGAGAGGCCCTGGAGCGCTTGGGAGCAGCGCCCAGGATTGCGGTAGGTGCACGATCCTCCTCGAGCGTGTGCGCGTGGGATGAGGGACCTAGGAGTTAGCAGCTGTGCGGGAAGTGCGCAATCCTCGGGCGGGCGCGCATGGAATGAGGGTACAGGCGTTAGCTTTCATGCGGGAAGTGCACCATCCTAGAGCGGGCACGCGTGGAATGATGGTTTAGGTGTTAGCTGCCATGCTGGGAGTGCGCCCTTCTCTAGCGGGCACGAGGGAAGTGGCCTCGGAGAGGAAGGACGGTGCATGCAAGAATCCGCTGCCGGGATGAAAGGGACAACTCTCCCTCATATAGTCCAAAACACACCCTACCAGGCAACCGCTGGCATTCTTCAACGCCTCAACGTGCCAGGGGGGACGGTGGCGGTTAAGGGAACGGACTGCAGGTGGTGAAGGAGGAGCAGCAGGAGGCGGTAGGCGAAGGAGAGGAAGAAAGGGAGTATGAGGAGTGTGAGGAGGGGGAGGAGGAGACGGAGGAGGAGGAGGAAGAGGAGGAGGAGGAGGAGGAGGAAGAGGGAGAAAAGGAGGAGGAGGAGCAGGTCGAGAGACTATCACGGAAGGATATGGAGGGGATGAGGACGAGGATGAAGTGGAGAAGGGAGGGGTGCGGAAGGGGGATGGTAACGCAGGCTGCAGGCCGCTCGCCATGGTCAGGACATGAGTTGACAGCCGTGTTGCGCGAGTAACGACCCAGGCTGGAGGGGTGCACGCGGTATTGGAGAACAGTAGTGTGAACGTGAGAACGTGGAAACCCGCGTTTGGGAAGCAGGCGCGGGTGGCGAGGGTAGGGTGCAGGCGGGCGGGCGGCAATTGCATGTACGAGAAGCGTTGAGCCCGTCGCCCCAGGCATTCTGGATTTCAAGCTTCACACTCCGCTCTGCCCCCCCCTCCCTCCCCCGCCCCCCCCCCCCCTTCCCGCTGGGAGGAGACCCCCGCAGCGGCCGCCGAGGAGGAGGCCGAGGACGCGCCCCAGGACCCGCAGGAAAGGGGTGTGGTAGGGAGCGGGAGTGTCGACGAGGGCTCGCCCATGTAGCAAATCACCTGTGCATCTCTCTCGTGGAGCACGCGTCACGTCTGAAGCCTGCCCGCCCTGTGGCGTTATGGGCTTCGAACTCCGCTCTCC